TGGAGACAGTCAGAGTCAAGTGCTGAACTGTGGCCGTCTCACTCTCCATGCCAGATAAAACAACACTGCAAGGCTTCAGTGGCCACTGGAGAAAAACAAATATGCAGCCTCAACACAAACTCCAACAACACTGTATGTCACAACGTGTCGACAAACGTTACACCACCTTTATTGCAATGCAGTCACACGACAGTGATTGATCACCCTTCCTTGGGCTGACACGCAAAGTTAATGCACACCAGCCGAACAATCAGGGGCAGATGAGGCTGGACTTCATTGAGTGGACGGTGTGTGCTTTCGTAAGTGGATTGCTGGCCACGGATAACACCGATGGCGACTGTCTAAATCGGTTCTGGACTTCCTCTCTAAGCTTAGCCTTAAAAAAATAGTCCTTAGTGGCCTGGCATGGGGCTGACCCACCCATATACACATCATGCAAGCCTAACTTGATGCTCACTAACAGTACTTTCCTCAACAGTTTGTGAAAGCTGTACAGGGGGGATCTTGGTTAATTCCCCACAACAGGTATGGTGCATTCTTCTGAGTGAATTAAATCTCTGCCTAATTATTCTCATCACTTGGGTGTCTTTGCCACCACAGTATTATACAAAGCTGTATATTTAGGGTGAGTAGTATTATAATCGGCAATTTCGGTTGCTATTGCTGATCTTGTTTGGAATATATATGTTGTAATGAGGACCGGGGAGGGAAATTACTCACTTAGTAAAAACGTATTTATAGTTTCCAAAATGCCCATATAAAAATTGTGACATTTCAGAATGATCCCTTTGGCTTCTACTGTACATATACCAGGAATATAACCAATGATGTTACTGCTTTGTAGTGAGCGGAATGCACAACCGCTTTTGTAACAGGCTTGTGTTTTCACAACCACCAAAATTGTTTCCACCCAACCTACCGCTATGAAACTATTCTTTTATTTTACCAGGTAAGGCCCACTGAGCTGTAGAACTCTTTTTCAGAAGCGACCGCACAACAAATGATAGCTCAACGAAGTGGATTATGTGAACATATATAACAGCCAAATACTCTAAATAAATGTTTCTAAATGTGGAGGGAAAACCCAGAGGACACGGAGAAAAATCCACATGACTACGGGGAAACCATGCAAATTCCATATATACCAGCGTCAGGGTCGAGATTGAACCCGTAGGCTGTAACGACGATACAGCCGGTCCCTTACACCAACCACAGCATAACATTTTCTGCCATCACTATGTATTTAAATATTATTTTGCACCATAAGTAGCCAACCATGCTAATTGGAGGTGCGGGGAAATTACAACAAACTAAACAGAACAAGCAGTTCTAAAGAAATTAGTTTTCAATCTAGATTTAAAAGTGCATAGCTCCAGTGGCTTCCTGATATTGGAGGGAAAAGCATTCCAGACAGTCACAGAAGTGCATCTGAAAGCGAGGCAATGCAGTGACCATCTTTGTTCAATGCGAATATGACCGGAGTTTGCTTGATGGATTATGCTCCTTGACAAGATCAGCAAGGTATTGTGGATCATTTGTGACGAGATCAGCAAGGTATTGTGGTTCATTTGTGACGAGATCAGCAAGGTATTGTGGTTCATTTGTGGCAAGTACTTTGTGAGTAATGAGTGCCACCTTATTATGTATTCGTTCAGCAACCGGAAGCCAATTCAGCTGATATTGCAGTACCCGTCACGACGTGCCAAACGATTTTGAACAAACAGAACCGTGAATCCGCTGCCATTCGACAAAAAAATGCAATCCACAGCTTGTCCCAGGCAACAAATGCAATTACAAAATAAATATAATGCATTCAAATAGTAATAAATACTGCAATGTCCACTATAAACAAACCTCAAAGTGATTTCTTACTGAAGTAATTCAATAAAAAACAATTTATTTCAGATGGAATGGCAGATGCATCCGAATATGTAATAATATTTGCAAGTTTATAATAAAACGGGAAATATGCATATGGAACGAATATTTCTCTGTTGCATGCTTGGAAATTATACGATAAAAAAGCACTTCCCAACGACAGAAAATGCAGTGTGTAGAAGAAATGTCTCATCACCTGCCGTCACACAACACCCCTGGCACATCCAACACGCAGGGAACTTCTCGTTTGTTTCCAAAGTATTATGGGAGTTTCTGTACAGTATTTATCTAAAAGCCAGAAAAGCATATGACCAACGTAAACACATACGAGACCTCATACACTTAACATTCAAGCGGAAACGTTCATCAAAACAACATTCGGAGATCACGTGAGATCAGCAATAATGAATATTGACTCGCAATAAGCACACAAGTACGGTACTGTATCATTAACATGTATAAATCCCATCGTGGACCCATTATACGAAGTCCTAAACTACTGGAATGTTTGGGTTACTACTTCCCGTACATTTTTCTAAAGGACACAACATTCCCAACATGCGAGTTGGCTGCCAATGTGCCTTGGGTTTTCAGGACTAAACACATTCCTGCGGAGGGAGCTGGTAGGAACGTTGGGTTGCTCGGTCAATGGCCAGGGTCAACGGCGGCGTGGTGTATTCCGCAAATATGCCCGACTGTGAGGGCGGGCACAAGCTGGCGTGAGTAGGTTAAACGTTGAGTTTTATAAGGGCACCACGGGGTGACCAGCCCCTTCCCACCCAGCCACACCCCACCCAGCCCCACCCTCCCCACCCAGCTCCTCCCCATCCTCCCCACCCAGCCCCTCCCTACCCTCCCCTCTCCACCCAGCCCCACCCCTCCCACGTGGACAGACATCCACAGACATACACAATTAATCCCTGCCTCCTGTGAATTAATCCCGGTTGGGCTTCCAGGCCACTACGTTTCCTACCAGTAAAACCCCAATGCAAACTCATCCATTCCACAACCGCTGCCCATTCCTACACAATTCACTTCAGCCATTGAAGACGTGTGTGCAATGTTACTGCATGAGAGAAGCACGCCAATATTTGTGAATGTATCAGAAGAGTCAATGTTAAGATCATTCTGTTTCAATTAAATTCCTCCACCTTGCCCACAAGCAATAATAATAATAGGTAGAACATCAGCCGTGTACTATCCACTGCCGGACGAAGGCCTCCCCACATCGTAACGATCCCTCGTGGCGCTACGCGTGATAACACAATCCCTCTTGGCTTCTGCACATGAGCTGATGCTATTGCTCCATCTCCCTGGTGGTCATCCAGTCGGGTGTGTTCCCTGCCGCAAGCATCTTCCCTAATCCGATCATTGGCTTGTAAAAAAGAAAAAGTCTACAAAAACTATATTCTTAGTTTTTTCGGTAAAGTCACGAAAGCTTTAAATCAAAATTTTTCTACAAAAACTCTTACAAAGCCTTGTAAAGCTTTCCGGATTTCAAACAGAAACACGGTATTGTTACCAGTCTACACTGACACTGTTAAGATTTATAAGCATGGTATTGTCATTAAACAACAGGTTACATTGAGTTTTATTGCCCTTGGTCTCGGTTCAACCAAACAAGTTTACAGAGTACAAAGTACCAGCACGAGCTGTACAGGGCAGATGACGCGTCTTGTTTCCTTGACACACATTTTGATAACTACAGCCCTTTGTCAATCCGCTAATGTATGCAGGCATCCGCAATACCATGTCGGTCATGGGGGGCGTTTGACCATACTTCACCGCACTGGCAAGTGGAGGGATTTACAACCGACGTATTTCATCCTGAACAGTAGGACTGTGAGAGCTTAAGTAGAGACGTTTTATAAAGTACAGTATTCCAATTAAAAATATACAGTGTAGAGTATTTAAAATAAGACACATGTAAATCATCCTTTGTACATAAAGTATAGTAGGTATGTCAAGCAAATAGAGCATGTTCATGTCAAGAACAACATGTATAATTGCATTACATTTATACACTTTCCAATAAACTTTAGTGTTCAGTAAACAAAAAATTCAGCCCTCTGTAAAGCCACATCGCTCATAGGGGTTGCTTGGCCGTATTTGAACACAACCAGAGAATGTGTTAAAGAGGGTCCAGGACATATACCACTGACATTGGCCATAACTGAGAAATCAAATTCAGGTCACTGCGTTCATAGCGCTGTGCGATAACCAGTGCCACTATTCACACCAATGTAATATTTCAACGGTACTGTACTTACGTATATATGAAAACATATTTAACAAGGCAGACTAATGACGAATGTGTCCAGACATATGCTGAAATTTCACGTTACACCGCATCGTTCAGCAGTTAATGTTGGGAGATTAACTTTGCACAACTGTTGGCACTGCTCCGACTTGCTGAAACAGCTGCTCCAGGTGTGCTGTACAAACACAGCAGATGGCTGTTTTTTGTTCATGCAGCAGCATCAGCTTCTCGTTGTGATGCCGACTACACATACAAATATAATGAAATGTATTTAATCCAAGAAAAAAACTATGGCATTATAATAACTTAGAGCCCTTTGTTGATCCAGTGCTGAATGCCTTCCATACTTCACCGTGCTGGTCAATGTGGGTTTACTGTGTACCAAAATTACAGCATAACGATCGCACTTAATAAATTAGATGGCTGTTGTTTATTTATTTGAGGCTCTATATAACATCGTTTTTCTACCACGATAGTCTCTAAACCTAAGTGTCCCGAGTACAAAAATAAAAAAAACAGACATCAGTTAAGCTTTGCCAAGTCTTTAGCAATAGAATTACAACACTTGTACCATTTAACGCAAGCCTGATTTTGGCCTGCCGGTCCGATTGCATTTTTCAACAAGTACTGGCCAAGCTAAGCTCAGCACCAGCTGCATGTGCCCATTTCTTCATACCACCATCGTGGCGGTGCGTCAGGCACACACCAACAGAGGTTGTTATAAAGTATTTTGACAGCTAAGACCCAGAAAAAAAGAGCTCCTGAAAGTCTTGAGAAATTTACACAGGGACACTTACACATTTCGCCGCTCCTGCCGCGGTTATGTGGCTTAACCACCTGAATGTGAAATTGCAATTGTTGCTCTGAATCTACATTGGTCGATAGATTGTGATAGTTTAAAGCTATAAAAGTTACGGACAACTATAGTATGTGCAGTACGAAAAAATCACTGTGTATGTAAATATTAGTGCAGAAAGTGCCGTGCAGATTTAAATGTCTGTGATGTGACGTCAGAGTATTGTTACATATCCATTCATGCCAAAGGGCGTTGCGCAAACTACAACAGTTGCAAGCCTTGGAAACTGGTCACTTGCCAACTGTGATGGATTACCATTACCCCTCATGAATGATCCATGTGTTATGCTGATCTAACTTCCGGTCACAAGGTCAGTGGCACTTTTCCTATCATGTGATCACCTCCCAAGGTCACACACCACTAAATGTCACTTAGTGTCGTTTGCTGTGTACATGGGGGAATTGCAGAAATCCAGTTCCTCCTCCTACGGCAATGCATGCAAGCCGTATGTGCAGTGCAGTACAGTACTGTCATGCGATTACGGTGCTACACTCCGGTGACAATTCTCCATAAAATGACCATTTTTAGTTGAACACAAATATTTAAATATTCCTAAATAGATTTTCAAGGTGCAGGGTGCGTTATAAAATGCACCTGCATTGCTGCAGTGTAAAACAAAGACCAACTAACTGCACAGCTTCCATGATTCATATTAAGTGTACAATATGCATGTTTATTATAGTAAATGTTTAATACTTTCTGTTTACGGTATAATACCCATTAAGAGACCAATTATAAAATGAAAACAAGAATATTGCATTTAATTTTGCATCTAAGTTGCCTCTTCAGCAATGTTATATAGTGTACTCAAAGGACTTAAGACTGGACAGTATGTGTATGATTTTTCCCACAATGTTAGGGTATAGAGACTGCATTTTTGCTCGTAATATACATTTATAGTCACCGACAAAAACGACTTGACTGGACTGGAGTGACATTTTTTGTTTTTATGTCAGTACATTTTGACCTCCTGAAGCTGGACTCATGGTTGGTGGTAGGGTGTGGGAAGAGGCTTTCTGATTTCGTAGGTTGCCCGACACACTGCAATTCAATAATTCATGCTTGCGACAGCGACATTACATTAATAACGTAATTAACCCGGAACGTATTTAAATAACATTTAATACGCGAGTAACTAATTATTTACTACTTAATACTTACATTTTAAGAAAACAAATTCGGTCACGTGTACTGCACAGTTTACCATCACTCGACGTGGAAGGCTGAAGGTTACATTTTTAAATAAAAACAATGTGGAAAATGAGAGCACTAAAGGAAAGGACAAGTGCCCATGCAAGGGCACAGGTTCACCAAATTCTATACGATAGATAAGTGCATGCTTTAAAGAGCTTATGAAATGCTGGTACACAAATGCGCATCAGTTATATTTGCTGTACTGAATTACAATTGTCAGGGGAAAAGTTTAACACCCCCTAATCTAATTAAGTGAATATGGACGTATTGGCGGTACACCGGTGCAGCATTACACACATGATAAAAGCCTGAAATCAAAATTTTAATCAACAAATCTGCGATCAGTCTTTAATTGACCCTGTCACCTAGTTTGACGCGATCCGAAGGTGTATTCAGTCGACTGAGACTTGCTATAAAAAAGGCCAATATTGACCGTTATTAGGCCCGGGGCACACGATTTTTTGGGCCGACCAGGAGGTTCGAGCTCCTGGGGCAAAAGCAGCTTTCTTGCGTGCCTTACGAGCCTCAGGTGGGACTAGAGCACCATCTTCGTCTTCGTCGTCTTGAACCGCCGATGGATAGTACAAGGGCTATTGTGATATCAACGACGAGGCCAATATATAAATCTCTCATGAAGAACCCAATTGTTGTATTGGGATCATTAGGGCTATTGTGATATCAACGATAAATGAGGCCAATATATAAATCTCATGAAGAACCAAATTGTTCATTAAAAGTCAGTGCTCGTATTTATCTAACCCTGACCTAACCCTTTCCATCCCACCACGTTTAGGGCACAATTGAAATCTGACACGAGTCAAAACACGGAGCCAATCGTCATCAAGCTGGGTGCTTCTTCTTGGTTCTTTCGGTAAAGTCACGTAGAATGGAAATAAAATAAAACAAAGAATTGAGAAAAATTTGCATTTTATACGGAGCACAGGTGTACCGCCAATACGTTCATATAGTATTTCCTAAACAAGATAGGCATTAGCTCATGCTGTACCCTACCGTTTCCCGAGACCAGCAAAATTCGGCTTAACCTGAATTCCAGCTTACTCGAGTCAGGCTTCGTCAGAATTTTGTTTACATCAGTCGCAATAGGTGCAGGTGTACATCACTTCACATTAGCAAGACAGGCTACGTACGGTGCGAAAATAAGTTCAACAAACATACATTCACGTAAACATTATCTTAAACCAAAACAAAATTCCACCACAGAAACATGACACTGGACATGTGTTTTATCTTTAAACGACTAGATTCGAGAAATCTCACAAAACCACCACACCAAGTGAAAAATAACTAAGAATTTTATTTTTCACACAAGCCATGCGCTAATCTCTGAATGCAGCGCTCCCAAACGTTTGTGACAATGCACGACAAAAGCACGAGGAACATACATCATAAATCGGTCACTACAAGCGATACATTAGTAACTATTTCCATGAAATAAGTAGGCTACTTTGGAACCCGCGTAATATGCTACTTGAGTCTCCAAAATTGCATCACAATATGCAGAGGTGATTTCACGGAGATGACATTAAAGGCATTAAACCAACATGATTAAGATGCCTTATTGTCACATTTTATGACAATTAGCTGGTGACTTTATCTGGAGTGCTATTATGCGGGTCTTAACTGTGCTTTATGAAAGAAAAACAAACAAGTTCAAAGCCTGCCTTCTCTCTAAGAAAACCACGGCTGGCCCTGTGGCCATAAAAGCAGGTAGAAAACTTTAATACAAAAGACTGACCAAAAGAAAGGACGATTTATGTATGGAAACAAATTTTACAAAACTATGTAGGTGAAAGGATGTACAAATACAGCCAAGACAATGAATGCTATTTCATTTTTTCGCACATAAATTGTATTATTAAAACCACCGTACTCAATGACAATATATTAACAATGTGCTACATTGCCAACCATGGCAGCCATTTCTAAATGTTTCCTGACAAACAAATGAAAATGTGACGTTTTGATGGCAATGGATGTTGCAATGTTATTGCTGGTTATCGGTGTGCTGACCAGTGTTTCAATATCAATGTAAAATCATCATTATAAAAGAGATAGTCAACGGTTCTAACGATAGGCCATGTTTGCATGATATAAACTTGTTCTTTCCCCAATGTTAGTTACAACACTTAATTCTACAGCATTTAATATCACCTTGCCAATGAAATCACAATTTTATTTTATAAGTAATTGAGTAATCTCAATTTGTAGATTTTAAAAAGGTCCAAGTTAATAGCAATTTCATGATGGCAAATATCATAATTTGTTGTCAATACCTTCTCATTTAAAGAAAAAGATATTTTAATTCAGATGTTTTTAAAATTACATTTTAAATATATAATGTAAATGTGACTAACCACCTTGTCAGCGATGAAGAAACACTGACAGCACTGAGGAATACTGATAAGAACTGAACTTTCCTTGTATGAAAATTGAGAATAAAAGACTTGTTATACTTAAAGTTAATCGAGTTTCCTCCAAAACGTATAAAAACAAGATAACTCTAATGATGAACCAATAACTATTCCTATGCAATTATTCAACGGATTTTATTCACATAAGTGCAGTTACGACCTTTGCTAAATTTAATTTTTAAACATTGCACTCTCATGCTTTTTGTTTAAAATCCCTTTTTTTTACAAAAGCCTATAGTATATCAAAGATGCAGCATACATTTTGAAAAAATGTTTCTCATTATTTAGCTTAATGGGAGGTTTAAACCACGTTACCAAAAAGCGAAGTTATGAGCTGACGCACATTTACACCAGACAGCTAAACATTTCCCTGATCAAAATGTGTTTCACAAAATGAAGTATGCAATTATACCACACAGGCTTGCTGCAAACCCAATATTATGAACACCATAATTAACTACTTCACCACAGCACTAAAACAAGACAAACCATTCTGTAATTTTGCGGCCTTCAAAAACGCTGCAATTCCAAATAAAGAGGGAAATCAACAATGAAAGTTAAGCCAAGCTTTCTTCACGTTTCAATAACCGTCCCATTACAATGCAAAAGTAATCTTGAATGCACAAGATCTAAAAGTTGTCCTTTCGTGCTGAAAGTCATCTCTCTGCCTCTGGCACGTGATTTCCTTGCGGTTGCTGGTAGTGCATTTGTGCAGGTGCTCCAGGTTGCATCCTGGGATGGAGCATGAGGGGAGGAGACATCGCTGCTGCAGCTGCCACAGTGCCACCAGACATCGGGCCACGAGCGCCCATGCTGGGTGGGGAAGAGGCGGACGCGGCCCATAGCTGACCGTAGTTGCTGTAGCCGCCACAGCTGCCAAAGGCTGGCGGTGAGGTGGCCATGGCAGCGGGGCTGCCACCCTGGAGGGCTTCCGATGTCCTGAGTCGCGAAAACATGGCCAGCGCATCGGGAAAATTTGGCGGCGTTGCTGGTGTGTTGGCTGGGGTGCCCATCTGTTCCAAATAATTATAAGACAGGGAAGGAAATGGAAAGAAATGACCCAACACACACGTGTTATATGTTGTGATAGACTAATTATAAAAGACACTTCATGAGAACATAATTGCTCAGAAAGATATGCTATCTACCATAAGCAAGAGGTTCATATTGTATATTACTTTTTTCTTATAATGAACCGTTCATATGCAAACGTTTAATTCCTGTCATTAGTTTTAAACCACAAACCAGAATGCAATTGTAACGTCATTATTATAAACGTTTGTTCCCAAACGTAAACAAGCATTAAGAGTGATCATCTCCATTGGCAGTCCTAAACCAGTGAAAATTCCACATTTGTATGGTGGGGGCCAGATTTTCCATTGGACAACCACTGCTGACTTTACACATATTCAAATGCACACACATTAAAATATGGCATAAAAGTTGATAATAACACATTTACAGGTTAAATGTATTTATTTTACAGAAGGAATGTGTGGTGGCAAGAAAATAACAATATTTCATTAAATGTAAGTGAAACGTATCATTATTACATAACTTTCAAAAATCAAGCTTATTATAAAATGTTCTGATATAAATGAAAGACAGTTGAAAACTAATTTAATCGGTGGCACAAATCATGACCTTATTTGACTTTTCATGATAAAATAAAGTTGTGCCAAAAATCTGCTCAGTACCATTATTTGCCAGTCATTTTTTGTTTTGCACAGCTCTATTCTTAACGTGATATGGAATTAAATTTCATGTAAACAGACCTTGGCTATTTATATAAGCTGGCACAGTACAACAACTTCGAACCACTCAGGATACAAAAATGCCTGGCAGCACACTGCTCTTCACATTTAAAATTCACAAGCACCCGGTTCAAATAATATGGCTTTTTGTGATTTGAAACTATTTATTTTATGTAACGTCACATATTTGTTGTGAGTCTTCTCATAAAACAAACAAAGTCATTTTTTGTTATGAAAATGTTTTCATGTAAACACACTCTTCTTAGCACAACCTTGTGAAACCAGTAAAATATAATGCAGAAACAAGTTTCCCAAATGTTAAGAACTTGTGATGCATACCTGATCTTATCAAGCCTTACATATAACTGTTGGAAATTCACACATTGGTAAGCGCATTTTTATTATTGCTGGTTCTGCAGTAGTGTACAGTACTTTGGATTTTATGATCAATATGTCCTTACTCAATTCATAAAAAAGCCTCACCTTTAAAATTGAAGTAAATGTTATTTTTTTACATGTAGCACAATATATTGATCACTAAAACTTTTCAAACAATAATCAGTCTGCTTTCTAAGTGTAGGAACAAAACAATAAAAACAGATGACCCTTATTGTATGGCTAGTGGCCAAACATTCAGGCAATGGAATGCTCTCAATACAACCATACAGTGTGTGCATGCACTATGCGCAGCAACTCAGATGCTTTTCGGTCTGTTAGCTATGCACTCCACTTGCATGCTTGAGCAGGTCATGTGATAGCAAGAACATTACAGCTGCGTGTGACTTTACAGTACTTAACGCATATCGTTTTACAAAAATGCTGTTACCGCTTCCAATAATAGCACCGGTGATTGCACCCACCCCTCGAGTTGAAAATGAAAACATTGCACTTTCAAAAAGTAACAGAAACAAAATGTTCTTTTCGTCAGGCAACGCTATTAAAAGATTACATGGATCCGACCCGGACTCAAAATCAAGTGGATTTGTTTGCGACTAAATTTTTCATTCTCTGAAAGTCATGTGCAACAAAAGGTTCCTTTCCTTAAAATATTATTTCCTTTCCCAATTTCATCCCGCTGTATTGGTGATGAGGCAAACTTGTCTTTTTTTTGGTCAATCCAAAAAAGTGCATTCGCCAATTACGTAAATAAATCATTTGCATGTAAAAACGTTCTTTTTTTTTAATCGACTGGAAAAAAAATCATGAACCATTTTGGAACCAAATCAAATAAATTATTTGCGAGGGCTCAATTAATGTCCAGACAGCAGTTTAACGATATGATGCAATGGGCTAAATTAATGGTCAGTCATATTCAAAGTTTAAATCAAAAGCAGTGTAGAGAGAGAGCAATATATCCTGAAATACAAAAATATATAGCTTGTACAAAAGCAAATGCGTAATTATTTTCCACTGTGCATCATCTAAATACCAAACGTGTTATTTTTTATTTAAAACATAAGTAACTAATACTCTACGTGTAATTCAACCAAAGAAAATATCAAGATTTTTGTGACAAATGTTGTCACGGTAGGTTATGGTTATATACAATAACCATGACAACTCTATTGTATGTTCCTGATTGGCATTAGTTATTGAATTAGGTTATTGGTAAATTACAGATGTCATGTTCATATGATGGTCAGACCACGTGCTTTTTCGTAATATCCAAAGCCTGACATCTATGTGTAGCATGTTTTAAATGTAAATAACATTTGTAAAGTAACCTAGGTTGATGGCGCAAATGCAACCATTTATTTGTAGCTGGTTATCAAGACTACCACCGCACATTAGGTTTACACGATACTGTACAACATGGAAATTAAAGAATCATTTCCTCGCTTCCAATGCACTCACTTGAAATGCATGCACCATAATAGAGATGCTGAAAACGTGTCAAATTAGTTTGTGTTCAGTTCCATAGACCATGAAACAACCCATACATTTCACTGCATCGCAAATCCCTCCTATCACGAGATCCATAACCAGCAATTCATATTTACATAATTATCAATAACCGCAAATGTAGTTTGAAAATGAAACTCGGCGTAAGATGTAAGGCCATTTTATCGTAAACGTGCACTGCACTTCAGATTATAAGATCAAACACGAGCTGGAGTTCAAACTTGACTGGCGTAGGGGGACAGCATTTCACGGTGTGCCATTCTTCAGAGACAATGCTACCATTGCCGTCTCACTTGCTAACACTGAATACTTGTATCTCATATTACGAAGAATACCCTAAGATAAACCAGCTCCCAGTAAAACACAGGATGCTGTCTCAATTATTCCTTATTAGATGTTATGCTGTTTAACGAGAATCGCACGTGTAAAACATTTCATATTATTCAAATGTTTACCTGGCAACATTTAAAACTGCATATTCCTGTTAACAGTGATACATTAATTACGTAATCCTCCCCATATGTTGACAAATGGTACTCCTTGGATAACACCCCCTGTAATTACAGTACTTAGTTATAGAACTAAGCTGCCTGCTTATGCAATTGGTTCGGATATCGGAGGGGCTTTAGAACATTTAGTTAATTCTGTATGAGCTTAAGATGTATACTCTAATTAAGGGGCATTTTGTTAAGAACTACAGTACAACCCGGTATACTTGGTGCTGTCTGATGGTATTAACTGTAGATAAACCTGCCTTGTGTGCACAGATCATGGACACGATCTTTTCCAAAATTGCCTTAATATACTTTACTGCATAGGACTTGTACAACCCCTTTGTTAATCCATTACTAGATGTAATCCTCCCCACATCTAGCGGGTTGTGGGGATTACTACTTAACTATGCTGTATAATAAGTAAACACATTGAAACTCTCTTTTGAATCACACTCACAGATGAAGGCCTCTCTCCCGATGCCATGTCACCATAAAAAAATTGTTTGACAATTCTTCACCGCACTAGCCAATGCTGGTTTGTGAAGGAAGGGGGACCAGGCGAAATTCAGGTATCTATCATTCAAAAGCTTGACAATCGAGCTCAGTGCCCAGGTTTATCGCGAAAGGCGCAAACCACTGCTCCAACCCTGTATGTTGTAAAACGTACATCTTAAACTGAAAAGTTATGACCGCTTACTGAGAGCCCAGAGTAATGTTAATAAGCACAGACTACCAACCCTGCTCAAGTTATGAGATTGTGGCTAAGAAACAAAATTCCACTCTTAATTATGACAGAGGTATTTTCAGGCATGTGCATGTAAAAAGATGCTGCTTCGTTAACAAAAAACTATACTTATTATGTATTATGTTGAACTTCTTTCTCACCGTACGTAGCCAACCGTGCTAATCGGAGGTGCGGGGGAAGGACAATGAACTAAACACATGTTAAAGGAAAATCGTGTATAATAATGTAAAAGGGAAATCTGTGAATGTGTGTCTGTTCGAAATGTTTAGCATACTTTCCAACATGCAACACACTTGAAATTTGGCATGTGGGTATCTTCCAGACTGTGCAAAAAGTATTTAAAAAAATACTTTTGGGGGGGGGGGGGTGGGGGGCGCAATAGTGCATATATTTTGCACGGCAAGTGAGCGGTGACGTCACATCTGTGATGTCACCCGCATGCGGCAGCGTCACGCAGTGTGCCTGCTAACGTCACGCATCCCCCCCTCCCATCCTCCGCGTGGGCAGTGTATTAATCCAAGACAAGAATCCAAGTCTCGGGCGAAGCCAGGTTGTAAAGCTAGACGTGTATAATAATAACTAGGCCACGGTGACACACACTTATTTCATTGTAAGGTTATAATCCCTTGTTCATCATGACGTCCATTTTACTTCTATGTCTCAATAGCGTTACGGAGATCGCGTGACGTGAGGGTTCTGCCTTTGTAGTGAGGGTTGTCAGTTGACGCCGAGGAGGGGGGAGGAGGCGCCTCGCCCCCCATGTGGAGTGACGTCACCTGATAATTAATATTAAAGGCGGGTTGTCCATTTGGAAGACGTCACCTCTTCATGATTATTGTGGGGGCTTTTCAATGCGGAGTGACGTCACCTGCTCATGATTATTAATGAGGGGGGGTGCTCCATGTGGAGTGACGTCAACCGGCTCATGATTATTAATGAGGGGGGGGGGTCCATGTGGAGGATGTCGCTTGTTCATGGGTATTAATGAGGGGGGCTGGCCGATGTGGAGTGACGTCACGCGCGGGACACACAGACATTCTTGGCTCATTATAGTAGTCAATTAATGCAATGGGAAAGTGACCAGATAAAGAGGGCTGGCCTCTCTTCAGGGAGTGGGGGATGGCGGAGGGAGGGGACATAAACCCGAAATGTCATCACGCCATGTCTACCCCCCTTTGTCCTCCTCCTCCCCATGTCTCCCCCCCCGTCCTCCTACCAACGCCTCGCCCCTCCTCCCAGCTGTCCCCCCCCCCCTCCTCGTGTCTCCCACTGCCTCATCCTCCTCCCAACGACTCACCCCCCCCCCTCTTCCCATGAGCACTCCAGCTTATGTCTCATGAATCTCGTGCGCTGGCTATACTCATGCTGATTTTACATGGCACCTATACAGTTTGCAAGATGTGTCCAGAGCTAGTTAACAATACAATTTACATAAATGGGAGTCCAACTAAAAATACACAATGAACTTTCGAGATTAATAAACATTTCCAGCCTTTGTCAGTCCACTTCTGGATGAAGGCCTCCCGTGGGAATTTTCACGCCGAATCAGTTTAGATACCACTCATCACCGATGTTCACCATGGCTGAGACTCAAACTTAAGGCGATTGGTTCAGTGCAGTGCGCTAACCAATGCACCACCCACTACACCCCGACTTCCTTTTCAACGAGACAATGTCATAGACAGCGCTAGCAAAAATTTAATGTTTTATATACAATATTATTTTACCTGCAATTACTTAATTCAAAAGGCACTAAAACATCTCTGGAATACCAAGTATGGACTACAGTACAATAACAAGTGTTAACTGACACATTGTGGTGATTTCAATCTATCCTGTAGAGCTCAGGGTATAATTTGTACAAAAACGTTATTTATATGTAGCACTGAATAAAGAACGAAATATATAAATATTAAGAATAATGTACATGTTTTAAGTCATCAGCTTTGTAAGTTAATTTTTGAAATATCGAAGTGCAAAATGTGTGGTACATTAGCTAACAAAAGGCAGGAGCCGAGTGGACGTTACCTGGCTATTCCTGCAGGTAATTATTACAAGTGGTGTTAAACACCAGTAATTTCTTCAAATAAATTAGTCAATCACATCTCCCATGCGTAATGAACTTAAATACACTAAGGTGACTCCCATCTCACTTTGCCAGTAATGCTCTTGATTAAAATATATCCATTACACTGTGTTCTTCCTAAGACGGGATATATTATTTTCAGCTAACCCGGATGCCTTGGTATGGCTTACAACATAAAAAACACATTCTATACCGCTTCTTTTTCGAATACCATATGCAATATTATTTTCAGTCGAACTGCTATAAGACAATACTTGGCAGCTATAAACCATTAAATGCAGATAACGTGCTACAGTTTCAGAAACTTCATTCAGTACACAAGTTACTTGCATTGGTGAAACAAGATGTCAAGATTTTGGCGAACATACTCCGGAAAGCTTAAGTATGGCTTGTCAATCAGAATCTACCTTTAGTCTTCATTGTAACATTAATCTATTATTCTTATTAACTCATCCATATATATACCGAAGAACAATAGCAACGAGCTCAGCTCTCATGGAATAAGTTAAATGTTTAAATGCTGAATTGAAATGAACAAGCATAGAATGCTAACCTATTCATTACATGCAACATTTAAAAATTAACCATTCTGGTAAAATATTGTCTCCACCTTTCATCCTAACAGAAGTATAAATTAAAGAGGGATAGGAGTTTGGGATATTTACAGAGCAGTTAATTCCCAAGCATAACTTTATAGCATGTGTGAATTTTAACGTTTTTTTAACTAAATTACTAGAAAGCAAAGTAAAATGTGGGAGCGTTTGAAAGTGTAGTCCTGCAGTAGCTATTTAATGTTGATGTCAATGTCATCTGATAAGAGAACATTGGGTTAGAGAAGCCTTTACCTTAAAAACCTGAACATCACTTCTCCCAAACTGGCTGTGTCCTGTTTTATGTAATGTACATTACACAATCTTTTAGATTTCCATTTTGGATTACCATGATTCATTGTATTTCTAAGCAAATAGTTATTCTACCAAACGCCATTAAATCCAGAACTCTATACTGCTACAACACCAAACAAAGAATGTCAGCAACATTTTTTGGACACAGTGACGCTGCACCCATCACTCACAATTCCACTCACATCCCTTCCACCCATGTGATCTTGTTGCATGAAAAGTACACTGGAAGCCTAAGACGATGTATCCAGATCGGGTTTACACACATGCATGTGCCAATAACACATATCTTCAAACAGCTCCATATTTAGCAACCTTATGTGTGCTATTAAGACAGTCTAAAAACCAGAACCATATTTAGAAACCTTGGGTGAGGAGCCAGAACCAAGTACCATCAACGAGTTTTCCAAGCACAGCACAAGATTACACAAATCGTTGCTGTAACAGAAGCACGGTATGGCAGGAACACGGCTGTGTGTACAAACACTTCATTGTTTAGTGTTTCATATTCTTGGTTCTTTCGGTAAAGTCACGTAGAAGGGAAACAATAAAATAATAAAAATATAAAACATCAGCTAATCATGCAATGCGCTTTGGTTTATAATTTAATAAATTGTGTCCACACAAACGTTGAAATAGGATACTACTTGAATTACCATCATGTTAACAATAAGTAATTATTTAATTCCACGAGAGATAAATGGAAGGCTATGATCGCCGACATCTTTGAAAGAGGACATGGCACATAGGAAATAATAATAAACGTTAAACAAAGGTAGGATAGGTACTACCAAGTCTTAATATAATCAGATGTCTCACATAAAAAGCTTAACCAGAAAACTTTGAAAGTTGTGTACACATTGACAAACACGCCTGTGTGATCATGTTATGCTTGGGAAAGCCATGCCAGGCATTGGGTGTGGTGTTTCCATCCAAATTCTCCCAGTCTGAGAAAACCCTCCAGTCATAACAACGCAGCCATGCAGGATTCCAACAGAATCCCTCTCACATGCACACATCCCACATAAACTTTCTAATAAATGTAATTTTCATGTCAAACAACTCGTATCACCCTGCAGCAGTGTAAACAACCAGTGCTATTTTCGTGAAAGATCTGTCAATCTGTCAACCATTAACATTGATGCTACTTATTGACTAACCTCACCCGGTAAGCATACATGTAATTGTGTATTCACGGGCAGTCTCTGACCCCCCACCCCACCCGATAAAAACATTTCCACGATGGCGATGGTCTGTAAGTTCGAAGCTTCTGATACCTAAACACCATGCGTGAATCACAGCAGTGCATACAAAAAGTAATGCATGTCAGCCGTGCAATTTCCCACGGCCATTTTTGTTCAGACGACACGTCCAGGGATGACACGTGCCATGAGTATTATCACTTCCTCGATCTGGCGGGCCAAGGGTTACTGAATGTACCTCAATTCCATGAAAACGCGCAGACAAAAGCAATGCTATCTTGAATTCCTAGGTCAATGTACACAGTGTAGCAATTCATAAAGGCCTCGGTTAGAAATTGTTTTCCCGTGCTGTGCTATGTTCGTTAGTGATGTTGTTAATGTAGAAATAAAACCTTAAAAAGTGCAACTGGATAAAACAAAGAAAAACCCCAGACGGCATTACGTTAACGTGACAGCAGCAACTGCTGCTTTAATGCAGTCCATATGCACTGCGCATGAATTAAAATAAAAAAATATACAACGCAATTTTGCTCAAAGTGAGTAAGTTGAATGAATGGCAAGGTCAGCGATTAATTGGACGCGTCTTTCCAATTTCAAGTGCAAATTCTCGGTCAAACATAATGCTTACGTAAAGCACTGTAACACTACATAACCGCTTTACAAACAAGAATGGTATATATAGGGCCACATTGCAGATTGGTTAGATTATGGATGCCGAATTGTCGTAGTGACATTGTAATCACAATATATACATCATAATGTTGTATATACATAGTTGCACATCCACCAATCCGATACCCGAGTTCGATTCTCTGGCGAATGACATCTGAACCCGGTCCTGGTGTCTCACCCCCAAGTATGGTCAAACTACCCCTGTATATAACGTATGCATGGAACTCAACGCCTACTTAACACATAGTTTAACACAAAGGTGAAAATGTTCAAACATGGTTGGTACTTTCATTTTAACCTGATCACCATGGTTGCAGTTGACAAAGGGTTGTAATGTCCCTAATTTCTCAGCAGTGTCTGCAGCATATGCAGACTGCTCCACAACTGGCGTTAACAACCAGTGTGCCGCTATATCCCGGCAAAAACAATGTGGGCACGTGACCCACTTTAAACATCTCCAGCGACAGCATCGTGACCACGTCGGCAAAAGCCATGCGCAATCAGAACTCCTGCATCATCACCTACGGCAAAAAAACTTTTACCAGTGGATTTGCAGGCCCCTGCAAATGCACACCCGGGCCCACGGACCCAGGCGTCAGACCAGAGAGGGGGAACACATTGGACAGGGGAAGGCCCCATTTCAATACTGGCACCAGGGTCCACAGTAACCAAGCTACGCCAGTGACAAGTAAATGTACCACAGTGACCATTATAGCATCATCTGCAGTTCAGCCGATGGACAGGGTGGCTTGGGGTCATGGAAGAGTGAGCGCTGGGGTCATGTGACAGATACTCACCATCTGGTGGTACTGATGACTTTGGGGCATATTCCCGTCTTGAAAAAACGTACTCAGTGCAGTCTGGGGGATAAAAACAAAAGAAGACATAGGTTGGGGAGAGAAGAGGCAGGAGGAGACGGACCAGGAGGGAACGAGTAGGAGAAAGAGACGAGAAGGCAAGAAAACGGGTGAAACAGGGAGATAATTGGTAGACAGGTTAGACACAGGGTCGAGACGGGAAACATTATAATAGACACATAAAGACAACACATAAAACGGGAATATGGTGAGACAAGGAATACGATGAAAGCGAGACAGAGAGGGGCACTTTTAGATGTATCGGTGTAAAATGGGGAACGGGTAAGGAGATCGTCAGAAACAGGTGGACACTCGTGCAGTGACGATAGGCACAGGGCGCAGTCAAGTAAGACAGAAAGGTGAGCCAGTAAGACAGGCATACAAGGACACATGGAGGGTGAAACAGGTAGGAGAGACAGAGACAGACACGAACAGTTGAGAAATAATGGGAACCGAAAAACAAAAAATGAGACTTTGACACGTGGACAAAGTGAGGAGGCAGTCAGACACGGACAACCATGGGACAAAGAGAGAGACAGATGAATAGACATAGACAGAGCGATGGTCGTGGTGGTGGTGGGTTGATAGGGAGACAGTGACACAAGAAAGTGAGTCGAGGAAGAGGAGGGCACGGCGAGGCGGGTCGCCATGTTAAGCGCCGAGGCTCCTCCATCACGGAGCAGCTCGTCTCTGGCAGCACGCGGCTCTCTAACATGGTCGCTGTTGTATCTTATACCCCTTGCGTTGTTGTTGTTGATGTTGTTACGTGTGTGTTGAATGCTTGCTCGTGATACGTGTGTTCTCTCATGCTTGCGATTGTAGCGTGTGTTATGGTTGTTGTTCATGTTGTTGTTACGTGTGTTGAATGCTTGCTCGTGATACGTGTTTTCTCAGGCTTGCGATTGTAGCGTGTGTTGTTATGGTTGTTGTTGATGTTATGGTTGTTTGTTGATGTTGTTACGTGTTGAATGCTCGCTATTGTTACGCGTGTTCTCTCATGTTTGTGATTGCAATGTGTGTTATGGTTGTTGTTGTTTGTGTCGGCATGTTACGTTGACTTTGTGCTGTTATTGTTGCAGCTATGTGTTTGTTGGTGTCGTGCATGCATTGTTGCGTACGTATTGCTCGTTCTGTGTTTTGTTTACGTGAGTTTTGTTTGTGTATTACGTTTCCGCCCCGGGTGTTGTTTGTGTTTATAAGCGATTGTTGGTGTTTACACTTACGTACTGTATTCCGTTATAGTTATGCTCTTATTATTTGTTGTTTTTGTGTTGCTTGTTTATATAATTATTCATATAATTAGTTATATTTATTGTATTTGTTATTCCTGTTTAAAACCGTCGATGTCGTTATTTGTATTATTTGACGATCAAATTGTATTGTCCACTTTGTCATTTCCATTAGTCGTTGCTGATGTATTAATGCTGTTTGGTGTTCATCTTATTCGCAGTTAATATCGATGTTTGCTCTTCGTACCGTTCCAACTCACGACGTCTAGCTATGCCTTATTACAACTCTTGCAATTACTCAGTTGTCAGTATCTACGTGCTCATTCGCGTCGCCTACGCCGTCGTTTTTGTGTCGCGTGTTCATGTGTCGTCGGCGTCGTCGTTTTCACCTCGAACTGCCAATGCGCCGCCTGCAGCAGCTGCTTCGCCTGGTCCGCGGCACAGCCCGCGGTCAACACGAACTGGTTTATCATCACCTGGTGCCTGAGCTCGTCCATCTCCACAGACATGACAACGGCGAAGGCTAAATCAACCACTGCGACCTAACACTTGAACGGGTAATAATGATTCGTAGTTAATTATGCGGCAAGGCAAAGGCCTCGTGAGCTGACGCCGCCTGCGCTTCTTAATGCGTCCGCCCGTCCGTCCGCCCGCCGCGCCGCGATCTAAATATTTACATCCGCGCGTGGGGGGTTCGGCCCGCGTGGTGACGTCACGCGTCGACGTGACGTCATCGCGCGCGGCGTCAAAACTCCCGTCGCTTCCGCCGCGGCGCGCGTCATCTTCCCGAAAAGGCGCCAAGCGGCGAGGAGAGGGGCGTTGAGCGCCTTGCGTGGTGACGTCACGCGGCGACGCGACGCCCCGATGAATGCCTTGCGTGGTGACGTCACGCCCCGATGAACGCTTTGCGTTGCGGATGTTACGTCGTCACGCAAAAAGGGGACGTTTGTGCGGCGCTCGGCGGGGCCGTTGCGCCTCTGACGTCATCAACACGCGGAGCGTGGCGTCACACCCGCGCAAGGCATTTTTCACGGCGCCCTGACGTCACCGCCCACGTTGCGGCGACACTCGTGACGTAATCGCGGCAACTGAGTGTAAGTAGACCACACCATGGGCGTGTGACGTCATAATGTGTGGGCAGTTCCCCGTGCGTGGGAGTGTTTCTGAGCGAACACCTGCGGTGTGTTGGTGGTCGGTTAACAAAACATATTCAGTGTCTTTCTTGTAAAGGCCACGTCGTACGTGGTGACTCTTGTGAATGAAAATCCCGTGAGGTATTTAACGCAAATCGAGTCAAACTTCTGCCTGTTCAGAGAACCAATTAATGGGGTTGGGAATCATCTCCCATCGGGGAATGGTTTTGGATTACAAATTACCATGGCATGCACACGTGCCAGTCTATTCGTAGAACATCAACAAATACAGCCGTTAATCCACTAATACGGCTGTTAATCCACCGACCAAAATTGTGTACGCTGGTGAGTGCGGGCGAGTGAACTGAGTGTGTGTGGGGGGGTGCTATCCCAGAAATGTCTCACATCTCACGAACCACTTAATGCCACCCATGGCTGGGAACCAAAGTCACCGTGCTGCATTGATAGCGCAGTGCGAGAACCACTGCACCACTACTCCACAAAATGATTTCCCACAAAATGGTACTCATGTTATCGATTCATTAGGGAAGACGAGATGACTTTTTGTGAGTCACAGCATTACCCGGAGCACCGTTTTAACATCTGAGGCGAGCAGGCCTTTTATGTCAGCACCGAGGCTTTACAAAACTAAACTATAAAAAAACGTATTACCAGCTTAAGACTCACTGAGCTATATAATTATTTTTCATTAGCAACCTGGCCACAAATGTTATCCCAACGAAATGGCTTATCATGTGTAGATTTATACCAGCCAAATACTATAAACAGATGATGTTGATTCCTAAATGTGAAGGGAAACCTGGAGTAACCTGAGAAAGATCCACGCGACCACGGGGAGAACATACAAAACTCCAAATATACAGGCATCAGGGTCGGGATCGAACCTGCAATCTCCTGTATATCAGGCGAGGTAGTTAACATTTCACCACCGTGGTGCCCCTTGCCTTTGCATGTGGTGGGGTTTGATTTCGTGGGAATTTTGTCAACAGGTTTACTGGAAGTGTAATATTTAGAGGGGAATAGATTTTGTTATTGAGCATGTGAATTATAGTTAAAGGTAAACGTGTAGCCTGACAAGTGTTTGCTCACGCCACTGCTGACGGAAGGCCCTCTACGAGTAGGTGATTGGCCTACTCTTCAATGCTGGCCTTAATGTCACAGAAGAGGTGGGAGTACCCACATTGTACGTGACCTGCCAATCGACAACCAGTGACAGCTGTATATTTGAAGTTTGCATGTCTCTCTTCCCGTGGTCGCATGGATTCTTCTCTGGGTCTTCTGGTTTTTCCCTCCACATTTAGAAACATACGCGTCAGGAGGAGCGGAGTGTATTGCTCTAATGTTGCCTCCTTCGTTTAGAGTATTTGGCTACAATTAATTTCCACATGATCAGCTATTTCGTTGAGTTATCATTTGTGCGCAGGTCGCTTCTGGGCCTTACCTGGTTGAATAAGAGATAATACTGTTGGGTGGACAGAGGCGAGGGAAATGAAGTGGAATAACCATTACACTATGGCAACATCCCCAAATTAAAGTAATATTTATTGAGGATTTTCTTTGTTTTTAAAGTGGGGGATAAGTCATCTCCAGAACACACCACATGTACTACACGCAGTATTAATGGACACACTTGACGAAGATCAAATGCATTTGAGCGGAGATTTTAAGTCTATCGTGCCATAGCCATCACTTTTGCAGCATGCACTGGGCCTCAATTTGTTATAATAATGGTGGTTTGATACATTTCTCTACCAACTACTTTTCTTCTCGAATATTAGCATCTGTCACCCAAAAAAATTACGAGAAATTGCACAGTTTTGTTGTTGCTTGCTTGAAAAAAGGTCGATTTTTCAAAGAATATACACATACACTTTTTTCAAATTTTCTTGCTGTGGTTTTCACACCTGATGATGATTGCTTGTGTTGCAGTCGAAACGTCGTGAGAATGTTATTGTTTTACATTTTTATTATTTTATTGTTTCCCTTCTGTGTGACTTTACCGGAAGAACCAAGAATAAGAATCCCTGCAGTCACGAACGCTTTAAAAAAAAATACAAGGTTGAATAAAAACTAGAGATATTTAATCTATCACGGCAGAGTGATGTATGAAAACTAGGAATGTATATATGTCTCTGTCACTGAGTCTGCTGTGTCTACGTGTGTTTCTCTGTTCCTCTGTAAATGCATAACACATATGAAGGGTATTGGCCAAATATCCCAATATAAGACCCTCACAAAAAAAGGCTTGAGACTTTTCCGGGAAGTAAATTACTTTTCTTTGAAAATAAATATAATTACAGTATTATTAGGCGGAATGATAATTGGTGTGAACAGGTGGTGTCGTGGATAACAAAGTACGTTATGAAATTCGTGGCCTGAGTATGATTAATTCCCATGGGTAAATCAGTGACAAGTGACACGAACCAATACTGGGGCTCTCAATTTACCAACCCTTGCTTGGAATTGCAAAGTATGGTCAAATAATTACAATGCCTGGCATGATTTTTTGGCCAAAATAAACACAACCGTATTTTGTTCGTCTTGTGGATCAACACAAATGTATATACAGTAGGTTCACAAGGTTTCAACGCACTATAGCAATGCTGCTGGTAAAATCGGCAACTCTCGCCTGCCAAAAGGCCCCCAATGTCGGCTCGATAATCTCCCTGCTGGCTCCAAATCCATTCCTGGATCAAATACAAGATTGCATTCACCATCTTCAAGATCCTCCGTGGATTCACCCCTGGGAGGTCGCTCTATCTCCTGCGCTACCCACATAGCCTGAAATTCCCCTCTGCTATTGGTGCTCTTGACTCCCCACCCCTGTTCAAATCGATGTTCAAAACCTCCCTCCTTGACTCCGGCTGTAACTTTCCATGTATAAACGTAATAAATCAATATGCCTACTTTCTGCAGGATACCCATATCCCATTATTCTGTACAGTGTCTTGAGATGTGATTGCATTTAGACACTTATTAATCCAAATGTTATTAAGACAGTGTACGGTATTTTAAACACTGCGGTAGAAAACACTACGTTGTTTATTGTTGTCTGCATTGTATAGAGTTGCATATAATTTCAGACATCCATCATGTTGTTACAACATGACACCAGCAGTATGGGATATTCGGTGACAGGGTAAATCCCTAACAGTTTGTCAAAACTAGAGGTGGTCACTGAGGATGCGTTCACACAACTTTCTGATTGCAACAACCAATCCTTCATTAGATCAGATAAAGTAATGATTATTTTGGGTTTGGCGGAGGCTTTATAAATAATTTATTTTAACACATCACGTGTTATGAAGTATTTTTAAATTAAGGATGTTAAAATATGTTAAAATATGCACTTATGGTTTAAATGTTCATATTGTGACCTTATACACTTGGTATTGATTTTTCACCAGTGTGCGACTGTGGTCATTCAGAACAGACCGTACAACATATAACGATTCAATGCCCGATCCACAAATACGAAGTAGACATCACAATGATACAATCTGACTTTCTTGACCACCTGCATGTGAAATTGTAGTTGTTGATCTGCATCTACATCAACCATACAAAAGAAGACGGCTACAATGTTCGTATCATTATTCAGCATCTTTTGTACATTAATCCAAGTGCTCCTAGCAAGAGAGACGTATCTTAATAGTCTCTTAGCCTGGTAAGGGTAAATGCCATTGTACAAATGCCACCGTTCAGCATATGCCAAGAGACGCTCTTGTGAGTCCAAAGTCATAATTGTGAAATAATGTGGCAAACATTTACTCAATATTAACCTCTGTAAGGAGGTCAATATAAGCATGATGTATGTACTATGTTTTAATTATTTCCCACCATACTTATCCAACCGTGCTCATCAGAGGTGCGTCACACTTCATTAATCTCAGTCTATTATTTTATTCTAGTGGTAGCTTAAAAAAACATTTATATACAAATGTAAACACTTCAAATACAAATAATGGTGGTTATCATTATTCTCATTATGCACAGGCCTTTGCCAATCCACTTCTGGATGAAGGCCACTCCACGCCATGTCAGTTATGTGCATTTTTTTACCACACTTTACCATGCTGGTCAGTGTGAGATGGTGAATATGGAGTCCAACACCAACCAGTTCACATATCACAACTCCACTGATACTAGCCGTGGCAGAGTGTGGAAGTCAGGTCACAGGGTTCACGTGCGAAAAATTACTGCGCCACCGCTCGCTATACTCATGGTAACAGGATATTAATATCGAAGTAAAGTACAGCACATTGGAAACGCATGTTTTGCTGTGGTAATGCGAAATGGGCCCCATTGCCTAAGGTGTCGTTCTTGCTCCCGCCTGCAGAACAGCTGCTGTCCCGTGTCCGTGTCACATACAGCTTTGCAGACAGACAGTAATTTCCATACTATGGAGAACAAAAATAACGTAGCAGTTCGCACAATTTTTGCCCAAAGAAACACAAATATACCGTGACGTGTTTAATGTATGTCAATCAAAACCACAAGCATTTAAAATGACAGTAAACCGTAAATACAAATAACTAAAATGCA